GCAATCTCTGCTCCCATATAACTCTTGGGAAGATGATAACATGAGGCACCCCAAGTAAGTGACCTGGACATTAACTACTCTACTCCTAGCTCCAACTTCTTCAGGCTCCACATCTTTCTCCTCATCTGTCTGTCCTGCTCAACCACTGTTCAGACATTTACAAACTGGCCTTCCTCTACGTAGCAATTTGTAAAATTCTCAGGACAGAGTTTTTAACCTTTCTCTTTCAACTCTAAAATCCCAATGCCAAGCAGAAGTGAACATGTTCATCTTCGTTCCTGAAATGAGCAGACGGGTCAGGGTTGGGTGCTGGGAAACCCAGGCACTGGCACAGCACATGTGACTGAGAAAGCTGAGGAGGAGCCTAACCTCTTTGCGCCCACTTTCCTCGCCTGTGAGGAGAGAAACCCCAACAGCACCTGCCTCCCAGAAATGCCAGGATTGGCTGCAATGATGTGTCTCACAGTTTCAAACAGCATCTTCCCAGAGCAAAGCACTATATAAATCTGTCCTACTTTTATTATTATAACCCCACACACACCAAAAGAGAAAATAGTTGCCTTTACCTTGTTATACAAACCAGGGATCAGCCATTCTGCCCCCACCTTGATGGCAGATGTGAGGAAAGCCAGCCTCAGAGCTGCGTGGATTCCCAGGTTCTGTACAAGCAGGAATCCAGAAGGCTTTAGAGGGGCTCAGCTTTGGGAGGAGACCGTGGCGCTATGGGCCGTAGGAGTCGCTCCTCTGGGAGAGTTTTCCAGGCCTGCACAGTTAGGAGGCTCACCTGACCCTATCTAGCAGGCGCTGTCCACGCCACAGAATACCAGTGCCCCTACAGGGGCTTCATTCATGTCAACTGTGCACACCAGCACCCGGGGGCCCTGTACCTTCTGGAATGAGGGGCTAGACCCCTCCAGGTGCTAAGACATCGGGGACACATCCGAGCCAGAGCTGAGGATAAGTTAAGTGTTGTCTGCCTAGGTGGGAAAAGGCAGGTGAGATCATGCTCACTGTGCCCAATAAATCCCACATGGGAGGCACTTCTGAGGACCCAGCCCCCTCACCCAGACCTTGCACCTCGGGGAGGAGAGAGTGAGGGTCTCCACGCATCTCTGCATCCCGCACACACAACACCCTAAACCTGGCCAGTCTCAGTGCGGGGAACGGCGGGGGAGTACATGAAGGCAGCACCAAAGCCAGGGGACAGGGAAGGACGCAGAGGCTCTGAAAAACAAAGGTCCTGTGTTTGTCACCTGGGAACACGTCAGCACATAAAGCGGCAGGAACTCCATATTTAAAAGGCAAAGGCGCGCCCATTTAAACATCCCCAATGTAATATCATTCGTTAATCATTTCTAAATCCATCTATAGGGAAAACACAAGGCAGAGGGCTTTATGATGTCTATTGAATTAATTCAATCACGGTCAAGGAAAACTTAGGATATTTATGACATGATCGTTGCCCAGAAGCATATACTTCAGGGTTTGTGTCCTAATCCACTTCTGCCAATTCTAGAATAAACAGAATCTCTGGGAGAGAAAGACTTTCTCCTTTGATTCCTCTCTTTGGGGGGCGGAGAGGTGTCCCAGGTGATCTGTGATGTGTCCGACCAGAAGCCCTCCTCCGGTGCCCGCCACATCCCTCCACATGGACACACTTACTGCCTCCATGGAGTCAATCAGCCAGTTGTTTCCTCATTCAAATACTAAAATAAGAATTCCAATTCAGTTTTAGGGCTGGGAGGTCCCAGAAAAATGTCAGAACTAGAAAAGGTGTCTCTCTCTGAAAAGATACTTTTCAAGAGATACTGAGTGAGTACACCTAGCACGTGAAAATTCAACTCCTCTCTTTTCACATCTACCAGCCTTCAAAATTCCCGAAATAAGTGGTTGTCTGCGCTTAATGGGACAACACAGGCGACGCACACCCCAGCCACACTCGCCCGTTGAGCCGCACCCTTTTCCTCTAAACTGTTGAGCCGTAACAATTAAAGTGATTTCCAGAAATGACTTTAGAGTTCTGAGACTCAAAATAGGTATTCCAACGTAAGCAGGGCAACTAGCTCGTAGACATCAAGAATACCCCAGTCCATGATGTCATGTTTCAGTGCAGTGTGCTGGGAGAGGGCTGGGGCGGTTTTACGGCGCGCACACCCCGCCCCATCCTTACTGTCACATGCAGGGGACAAGGCCACCTCTACAGGGACCTGCAAATTGACCCCAGCAACCTTTGAAACTTTATGACATCCAAATACATACTTCTCTTAGAAACACTGGCTTTTCCTAGCATCTAACAGAAATCACAACTGTTGCCCTGACCTAGGGGAAAGAAACATTATTACTGCAGATAAAAGCAGTAGGAGGAGACTCCTGATAGCAGTTTTACACAGCAAGCACTACCTCTCCCTTGCTCAAGTATTTCAAGATGTATTTGCTAGTCCCTCCACTATGGCATCCTCCCAACTGAATAACCAACCAATTAAGGCACAACACTGCAATGGAATACTCTACAGCTCTGGAAAAGGATGGCATGAGCTATAGAAGGTGACAAACAGGGCCTCTCTGGTGGTGCAGCGGGTCGAGCGCAGCGCTGTGAAGCTGTCCACAGCCTCCGCAGAATGAGTTTGATCCCCGGCCGGCCAGGGAGAAACATACATGGCGTGGAAAACCTCTCCTGCCTCGCCCGCTGCTCCCCTCAGCAGTGTCTTAGGTCTGTCTGCCTGTTCTGCTCCCTGCTCCCTCTGGTGAATTCTCTCATCCTCCTGCGCCTCTGACCTGTACCCCAGTTCTTGTATAAATAAATAAATCTTTAAAAAAAATAGAAGGTGACAAACAGCTGTTGGTATGTTCTCGGAGAAAATTAACACAGACATCTAGAGCATTAGTACATTTTGAACACTCTCTCTCTCTCTCTCTCTCTCTCTCTCTCTCTCTCTCTCTCTGTTTATCTAGACCCAGGAGAAAGTTTAGAAGTACAAGCAGCAAATTATGAATAGTGGGCACCTTTGCAGAGGAAAGATAAGGGCACTTTGTTTTCCCCTATTTCTCCACCCCAGGCCCATTTCTCACTACACGTGCATTACTTTAATGCTTTCTAAACTATGTAATATTTTCCCCCAAGGACTGTGTACAAAACTAAAACCAGCATAACTGGATTTCACAATGCTGGCTCTTGACTAAGACGTGTGAAACACCGCTCAGCCCAACGCACTCAAATTACATATAGACTTGGGGATTCTCTCTGACTCTGTGGGTCCCAGACAGAGGAACAATACTAGGACAGATAGATGCCCAGCTGTACTGGCTCACTTTAAACAAATCCTCCTGAACAAAAGCTGCTTGCCAAGCAGAGTGCTGACTTTTCACCTGCTGTGGGCAGAGATCAGTGCAGGCAGGTACGGCTACCTGGCCTGGGCAGAAGCCCTGCTTCAGTATCCCCGATCCTCTTATCTGAGCTTCCTCTTTATCTTACTCCACTGGAAGAAGAGACCTGCTATCAGATTAAGTAAAGAGTTTTGTGTTGCAACACCGTTGTCTCACCTTCACACCTCTCTTCAGGTGAGGGGAGCCAGAAATTTCTGGGGCGCACTCCAGCCAGGTACAGCCCCAGCCCCTGCATGGCCCTATGTGTTAGAATGGAAAAAGAATGCTCCGTGGAACTTCCTGGAGGGACACTAGACCTCAACAAATAACTGGGATATGAGGCTGATTTTCTGAGCACTCGCAAAAGAAATCTGTTTTTTAAAAGTCACTTGTGAAAAAAAAATCACACAGCCTCTGTCTACAGTGTATTTAGTTCTCTGAACAAATATTTCTACACATCTGGAGGCTCACTGACAAAAGGTTTTTAAGAATATTCACAAGGGAACCCAAACCACACAACTTCCTCCAAGCAATCATAAGCTCAATCTGCTGGAAGCTTTAACCAGTGGGGAAAAAAAAAAAAGGTCGGGGGGGTGGGGCACGAGGCTCAGGTCCCTCCACAGAAAATGAGCTATCATGCTGGCAGGAAGGAATCCAAGATAATGAATAATGTGGAAACAATCCCTGCGATGAAAATCTGCAGTGAAAAGGCCCATCACACTTTCCTTAGTTTTGACAGTAACACAATAGAAAGGAGCCTCACACGTCAGAGGAAAGCAATCTGATTCAAGCCAAATCCATTACAGGGAAGTTTGAGTCTTAAAGACATTAATTGAAAATTAATGATAATAGCAATTGAACTCCATGTTTAAAAAAGATAATCATATATAAATCACTAAGTACTCAACCCTTTAGCAGATCACTTGAAAGGCTCAATTGTCCCCCTGCTGTGCATGTTGGTGGTTTTTTGCAGTTTGCTTTAAAAGTTATGTGCCTGTATTGTAGGAAAGAAATTCCAAGAGAGAAGCACAACCTACTCATTGATGAGAATAACAACACCACCATTTTCCACATTCCTGCTTTACAAAGTCCACTGAGGCACTTAAATTTATCCAAAAGGCTGCTGCTAAGCATAGAAACTTTTCTATCAACTGGTTCCAAGTTTAGATCCTTCCTGACTTTGGTCAAGGCAAACCTTCTGATAAAAATGAGTGAGACTACACTGAACTTCAATAGTTGTGTCTCTTCAAATCCCCCCAAGGTCATCTTCCTCTTCCCCACAGCAACATGAATAATAAATGTAAAAAGGTTTTAATTTTGCAAAGAACCTCAATGAAAAAGTGGGTTTACATCAGGCCACAGAGCATCTAGGTGTGGCCAGATTTTGCACAATACAAAGTTGTTTTATGCAAAAAAGCCTCCTGGAAACCACCTTCGCCCACAGAATGTCAGCCTGTTTCTGACCAAGATTAATCAAGGTGAGAGCAGGTCAATCTTCAGGGAGAGCTGAGCACTTGCAAGAGACAGGCAGAGCAAGTTTCAAAATCTATCAAGGGAGAGGCGCTCAGCCCTTGCACAAGGACAGGGTGGCTGCCCCAGGAGCCAGCGGTGCCCTCCCCTCCCGCTGGGATGCTCACCAGCACCTGCACCGCTGGGCTCTCTGCTTCCACCTCTCCCTGCGCTGCATCCTTGTACTGCAGCGGGGACTCGATCACCAGCTCCTTCTTGATGCTTCTGCTACTTGTCCTACATTTGTCAGCCTGCATTCTGGGCTAAGACGTGGCTCAGAAAGTCCGCGACTGGAACAGCTGCGAGTCCCTGGCCGTGCCAGGCGCCCGCATGCCCGTGGCCCGAGGCGGGAGGGACGGCGGCCCAGGAGCAAGTGGTCACAGCGGGCCGGCCGGGTCTGCAGAGCCAGCCGCGGGGGTGGGCAGGCCGGCTAGGCCAGCCTCCAGGGGTGTTACTACAGCTCGGGAAATGGGAGGTTCCCACCAGCCGCTGGAGGAAAACAACCCCCCAGCTGCACAATGCGCAGCGTCCTGCCTCTGTGATAAAGAGCGCCTCATTGTGTCGGCCCACCGACTCAAACGCGGCAGCGCTCAGGCCACAGTTGGGTCCTCCAGAAGATTTCAAAGCTGAAACCCCAGGAGCTCCGGAGACAGCTGGGTGATCTGGCTGTTCCAAAACTCTGAGTTTCTGGATGCTTTCCTCCGCGTTATGGCTAAACATCAAATGCCTGGCTGATGAGCAAAGCAGGGAGGAGAAGCAGGCAGGAGAGCTGCTCCCTGCAGGGGGCCCAAAACTTAATTTATCTATTTTATGCGGGAAAGACCAGGTCATCCAGCATTTTCATAGATTTCATGGGTTGTGGTAGATGCTTTTATTATTAAACAGAACTGCAGTTTAAATTATCAGCAGGTGCATAGGTACCAGTAGGTAATGAACCCAGAACTAAGCACCCAGAGAGTCAGAGTAAAAACAGCGTCTCTTCCTTCGAGGGCTGTCATTGCATGTGAAAAGCAAGTGAAATTAGATGCCATCAATTTTAGATGAATGTAATTAATAGAGATTTACACAACAGCCCAGTGAAGTAGCTGAGTCGCCACCCTATAGTCTAATGGCCACAGCCCCCAAAATATGTTTTCCCAAAGGCCTGCTATTTTTATTATTTCCTTATATTAATGGTGGACGAATCCTTAAGTAATTTAAAAATCATCTCTTTGGAAAAAAGGAACAGGTATTAAGAAATTTACTTTCAAAGGACATGGGATGAAACATTCTTCTGCACTTCCTGGGAGCTGCAGCACTCCCTTCCCCTATCAGTTACACTACGCATTTCCTTGACACCAGGGAGGATCTGGTTACTGAAAACAGAGGCAGCAGTGGTGGTGAGTAAACGTGGAAGTGCACGTCCCTTAGAAACAATAAGTGCACGTGATGTACCACCCAGGGAAATACATAAACTGTTCTTAAGATAAAGGTCCAAGTCACAAGTCCCCTTTTAAAGGCAAAGCAAGGAAGGGGCTGGGTGAGCTCTGCAAGGCAGAGAGGCTCAAGGATGCCACCTTCTTCCCAAGGGGCCCTTCGAGGCCACTCCACAGCCACAGCTGAGCTCAGCCACTGTCACTCAAACACCAGGATCCTTCTGAGGCTGGATGTCACTGTGCATTGAGTTACAAGGCTTCCACGAATCCATGAAGTAAAAATGAGTAGTTTCTATATTAACTGTGTTTAATTGCCCAATTTCCCAAACTCAGATCATCTTTCGGGGTAAATACAACTCACCTACCAAACCTGTATACCTGAAAAATGAGATCTATGATTTTAAAGAATCTATCTTTGTAAAGCTGCAAAGAACCTGCGTCTCTCTTACTGAAAGCTATGTTGAATATTTTTTTTTAATTAATTTTTTGGCCTCCTGAATACAGACATTCCAGACTTTAAGGAGAGAAATATTACCCTATTTGTTGGGTCAAAACAACCTGACATCCTCTAAGTAATGAGAAAGAACTTAAATGGTTATTTTATGAATGTTCTAAGTACCCCAAAACCCTGCAATTATACCCCAAACCCAGCCAATTATTTAATGTTTATAATGACCCTATGAAGCAGGTAACATGGTTACCCCTGTTTTACAGATAAGGAAAACGATGCCCAGAGAGGTTATGTATGCATGAATGGTCACACAGCAAGCAGGAGCATCATGCATCCAGTGTATACACTCTTAAGCACCATACTAAGCCAAGCCAGTTGTCTACTCCAACTATGCAAACTGCTAAAAAACACAAATGTGTAAAAGCTACTAATCAGCAGTTAAAGATAACAGCAGCATGTGAGTTTAATCCCATCAAGCTAATTTGGTGAAGATTTGAAAACAGCATGAAACTGTGCCTGGCACATAGTAGATGTTCATTTAATGGTAGCTACTATTACTGTTGTAGCTGCTATTATTCAAATCTAAAGAAATTAACTTTAGTCCTAAGTTCAGGACTTCATGCCGTGTGAGCTAAAGTGACAATTCCACCAACTGCTTTGACAACTTAAAATCAATTGTTCTTCCCTCGTTGTGATTCCAAATTTGGGCAGGCTCAGAGCTTTCAGGGAGCCAGTACAGAAAGGCAGACCGACATGATCAGTTCCATAATTCAGATCATCAAAAAAGGGAAAACACACCAAGCTGAGAGGCAAATGAGTTTTTTTTTAAATCCCTCAGCAGAGACTGACATAAAAGGGCACAGACTGATGCACTCGTCATGGTTCCCAACATGTTTACACGAGACACCGCAAAATTCCCTGAGCTGTTTCTCACCACCATCTTGCCACTACTTAAATCATGGACAAAGGAAAGAGATTCTGAGAGCAAGACAGTCAGCTAGTCTAATGATGGAAGGAGGAAATTCTCAGGGCCTAGAGGGGTGGAGAGATTGTTGTCAGCTCCCACTACATCTAAGCAACTTAAATGCCCTTGTTCCAGGGGCTCTTAGGCCTTCAGAAGTCTGCCGCTCAGTGGGCACATGGTATAGGTTCAACTTCCGAACATAAACCTCCAAATAGGATGTGGTTTCTCTGAGAGAGTCATCAGATGGGTGTCTGAGGAAGGAGAATGACATCTGCTCAGTGAAGCCACAAAAGGAAATGCCTCTTAGGAGGAAGGAGATAGGTGGGGAAGCTTCCCTTGAGAACATTGCAGAGAACAAGGTATACACTGGACCTCTGGATTCAAATCCACAAGCATTTACTGAGCTCCTACTATCTAGAAACCTCAGTTCCTTCACACACTAATGTGCTTAAAATTAACTCTTACAGGAAAAAAACACACCTGTTAGCATGTAATAAGGGTACACAATTTTACTGTTACAACAGAACAGAGTAAAACCCGGGGAAAGTAGGAACACTTCTGAAGTAGGATGGAATGAATCCTACTGATTTGGGGTTTCGCTTCTCAGATTTTAGTATGCATACAAATGATAACACAGATTGGCCACACATGAAAAGTTTACAGAAAATCTAAGAAATTTTCCAAGGATTATTTTTACAATAGAACAGGCTAACTTTAAAACTCTGAAATCCTCACCTTCCCACCCAAGATGAAACTGCATCACATTCTGAAAAGCAAGAAACTGAAGACGTCTCTCATCCAAAGGACTCCTACACATGCCTCAAAACCCAGTTTCAATGCCATCTTTTTGGTAAAACTTCCTTGATTCTCCCAGCCAAAACTACTCAGCTCCTCTTCTGTTAACTCTCTGGACATGCTTTTTACTGACTTCTCAGAGCTTTTCAGAGTCTACCTTTGACTAACTTTGTACAAGCTGTACTCTATGGTGGGAATGTCGACCATGAAGGCAGGGGCTGCGTCCTAAACACTCGAGTGTCTGGTGTCTCAGGTACTGAGCACTGAAAACACTCTGGCTGACCTCAATGCTTACGGCAGTTTTGTGTCATGGGTCATCAGTAAAAGGCAGTGGTTGTAAAAATCCACAAAGCTTTTCATTTGTAAGTGAACCATATGAAAGCAGAGTGTATAAACTGTTCAAAACCTGAAACTCAGTGGACCATTTACAAATAATTAAAATGTTCCCTTTTCCCAGCTGCAAAACTTGCTGGAGATGTTTTAAGACAATGGTTGATTTGGAAACTGTACAATTGAACCTTTAGCAACTGTCAATAAACTTGTTTTTAGACAAGAATTCTATAAAGTTTGAAACCGCCTGTTGCTGTAGTTAATAACTATATAAGGAATAGATAAGGAACTGTACAAAGAACAAATATTAATCATCTCAACTTAATGGCATTTTTTTTACTCTTCTTATTAGGGTCTTAGAAAGACAGTAAAATACAATGTTAACTTTAAAGACTATATGTGTTTATACATATTTCTTTTTTTAGAGTAGGCTTTAAATTATATACATGCAGATACACGTATGTATACATGCCTTTGAGGCATATATACTTCATGAAGTTTATTTAAATACATAAAGTATGACACACATACTTCGTAGTCATCCCTTTTCTCTTGTTATGGGAAAATTTGAAGCAATAGTAAAAATCAAGAAAAATTGTGAAAAGGAACAAGTGACTGCAGATTTTCCAGTGAATTGTTACCGGCCAGCTTACGGGCCAAAGGAAAGAAGAGGTGTCAGGAAAATGACCTGCCCTTTGGAGAAAAACAAAAACAGGGTAGGTGGAAGCAGCAAAACAGAGAACAGGACAAGATTAGAGAAATAGATACAGGGCACCAAGGGGTAAGCCAGGAGGGTGACAGCGCCCAGAAGCCAGGCAGGTGGAGGAGCAGGGAGGACAAGGATCACTGTCTACAACAGATATGAACTCATAGAAGAGTGAATATCAAAAATGATACAGTGTGAGGCTCGCCTCAATTATTTATGTCATTAGAGGTTAATCCAATAACTACAGAAATGGAAGACGGGTCACCGTTTAGCGTTTCTTAGCCTGGAATCCAAGGCTTTTCTTTCAGGAAAAGAAGGAGGTCCATGAACCCTCTAAAATAACCTGCAAGACTTTGTGTGTGTGATTTTCTGCGTACAGAAGGGATCAGGGGAAGATTCTCCTTCCATGGAACAAGGAAGCTGCGGTCCAGAGGGAGCAGCAGGAGAGGCAGCCAGAGCCTTGGGCTCACAGCACTCCCTCGTGCTGTTCAAATTCCCCTTAAGTGGAGCTGCCAACCATTTAAACACCAGCACCAGTTAAGCCAACAAAGCCTCAGAGGCGACAGCAGCGTCAACACCTGCAGCCCACACGCTGGGGACAGATGCCCAAGTCAGCGGTGGTCACTGCAGGGACTGATGCCTGAGGGACAACCTGAGGCCAAGATCACATTTCCAAGACAGGGAAAATAGGGGAACCAATAAAAATTGCTTGTTGAAGACACTGAGAAAATGGCCACAA